CCCCCCCCCCCCCATCTCGGTGTGTTCTCAGGCCCTGGCACGAGGCAAACCTGACCGCACCCAACGCGCGCTGAAAAAAAAAGTTCTTTGTTTCACTTTATTTGGCCGTCTACGAAATTTTAATTTGAGATATTTCTCACACCAGGAGAAAAGCTGAAACATGGGATCCTCAAAGTCACGTGAATTACAAGAAAACGCAGAAGCTTTAAATTCATTACTGAAGAAACACTCGGAAGAAATTGAAGAAGAAAAACTAGTGAACTTGCTACAATGGATACAAGCTGCAACACTAAGAACTCCGTTGGCTGCAACATTAAACCTGACCACATGGCAGGAGATCGGAAGGACAATGCGAAGTGCAGCGTTGCTTGGAGATATGAAGGCTTTCAGAAATCTGCCTGCATGGTCTCATGTGCTGGACTCTTTACTAGCAGCACACTTAAAGGTAAGTTCAGCCGCGAAAAGAAACCCTAGAAACCCTAGACATCCCTCCGCCCCCCCAAACCCTGGTCCTGAAATAATCCTAGTACAGGTAGAAAATGAAAATGAAACTGAGAGCGGGGGGGGGCTCGTCGGGCATGAGGGAAGGTGAAAGAATTGTTCCTGAGGGAGTGCGACTTCGTTGCAGCCGGGGTCGGGAGGGAAATGCAATGGATTACAATAAAGAGCAAGCTTTTCGCGGGCGCGCGGGTCCGGGGGAGAGGGAGCCGGGCCGGGCGCGGGAAGCGGCGGCGCTGCCGCTGAACGCTGGGCGCGGGACACAGGCGGCGGGACTGCCGCAGGGGGGCAAGCGCAGTGTTCGGGCCGAGGGGCTAGCACCGGGGAGCTTGCGGTGGGCTCGCGCCGAGAGGGCCGGGGGGGACGCGTACAGACGGGCGTGTTCCCTTTGCCCGTGGCAAGGTCTCGGCCACGTGGCGAGCACATGGCTGCAAGGGCGGCGCCATCTTGTTCCCCCCGGGAGCAGGAAATGAGACCCCCCTCTTCCGCCCGCGCAGCCGTACTACCACGAGCACGCGGCGGGGAGGTACCCTGCTCTGCCGGTGGCGCGGCAAGTTTGTAATGTGCCTGTGGTAGAATCCGATAGTGACAGCACAGAGTACAGTGATACGGGGGAGGACCTGGGAGAAGGGTTAGTCGCGATGGCTCTGAACGAGAAAAAACTTGTGACTGCAGAGTCGTGTGGGTATATAACTGCTACACTGGTGTGTTCCAGATCACACTTCAGCCCTTTGTCTATTCCATTTTTATTTCGTTTTTTCATCAAGACTTCAGCTGCTGCACCATCCCTCTGTGTTGCAATGCTTAACTTATGTTACGTCCAAACTTCAAAATAAATCTAGAGAGCTTGATGAGAGTGTGAATTCATTCACAACAGGCTGATGCTCAGGGCCCCACTTCATGACTTAAGTGTGTGCTGACTGGTCAGGGTAGACAAGCATCAGCTGGGTTTGCACAAGTCAACCAAATAAAGACTTTTCCAGCTGGTCTCTAACTGCTTATCTCACTTTGACAAGGCACCTCAAGATCAAGGTGTGTTTTAGAAATGTTGATCATTGAAGGTGTGTAACAAACTGGCTTTGCACAGGGGAGGTGAGGACTGCTGGTTTGATGACATTTGTTCCAGGATTGAGAAATGTTGTTCTGCCCCTGCTCTCCTCAGAAAACACCTGACTCTGCTGTAGTACATGACTCAGATGCTGAGTGGAGCCATGAGGTCAAAGGAGAGCTTTAGGAAGGCATGTGCTGATTGACTCTGAAGGTCAGTTTGTGCTGTTGAACTCTGGGAATGGCATGTGCCACTCCTTCATCCTCCACGTCACCCAGCCTCATGGTGTTCCTGTGACTGCTGCTGGGTGTGCCAGCTCACAGCCCACTCACTTGGTGCTCTTCCCAACAGTACTGTGCTGCTAGACTAAAATTATGCCGTGTCATCAGCCAGACACCCTTCCCAGGCCTTCCCATTTAATTTAATTTTTCCTCCAAAAAAAGACCATAAAATTACCAAATCTCCTCATTTAAAG